AAAGCAGCGACAGCCAACGGAGCATCAGTGAACTTTCGTCAGGGTTGTAACCAGCTGATTCACCAGAGAGGTAAAATATTTGACATCAAGGAATATGATAGACTTTATTTTTTAAACACTGTGGACTGTGAAGCTGAGGACGATGCATGTTATGGATGTTATGACATTCAAACATGGCATGAAATACTTGGTCACTGTAACTATGATGATGTGTCACAACTGGAAAAAGTCACTGAGGGGATGAAAATTAAGGGTGGGATTGATAAATCTAACCTTAACTGTGAAGTGTGTACTCGAGGTAAATTTGCTCAGAGTAGGAACAGACAACCAGATGCAAGAGCTAAAGCAGCGCTCAATCTTGTGCACACTGATTTAGCAGGTCCCATTGAGCCAGAGGCTAAGGAGGGATTCAGATACACATTGGCTTTTACAGATGACTTTTCAGGGGCAGTATTTGTGTATTTCCTAAAAGCTAAAAGTGATACTTTCAAAGCCACAGAAAAATTCATTGCTGATGTCGCACCTTATGGTAAAATCAAATGTATAAGGTCTGATAACGGTACAGAATTCACCGGGACAAACTTTCAATCGCTCCTTAGACAACATGCAATACGACATGAAACTTCAGCACCTTACTCACCCCATCAAAATGGGACAGCTGAGAGAAACTGGAGAACACTTTTTGAAATGGCAAGATGCATGCTTCTTGAGAGCAATTTACCAAAGAAGCTATGGACATATGCCGTCATGACTGCAGCTGTAATACGTAACAGATGTTACAACAGACGTGTAGGACAGACACCTTATTATATGCTGACAGGACATAAGCCGAACCTCTCGAAAATGAATATATTTGGATCTGTATGCTATGCATACAAGCAGGAAAAGAAAAAGTTAGACTCGAGGTGTGAGAAGGGTATTTTTGTAGGGTATGATAAAAACAGCCCAGCATACCTAGTCTACAACCCAGACACTGGTAGTGTTCGAAAACACAGGCAAGTGAAGTTTGTCACAAAAAGTATAGTCGAGCGACACACAGACTGATTTTGAGGCAAGTGATGATGATTTTTATGAGAAAAGGTTTGTATCCACCAAGCCAGAAACCCAGGGGACTGACTCGTGTCCAAAAGAGACACAGGAGGCTCGAACTGAGACAGATGACACAAACACTCAGACAGGAAATGGAGCAGAAGGTCAAAATAGAAGCTATCCCCAAAGAGAAAGGAGGAGACCTCAGTATTTACAGGACTATGAATGTAAAGTACAGTGTGACGACCAGAAGTATGTAAATATTGACTACTGCTACAGAGTAATGTGTAATGTACCAAACACCTTTAAAGAGGCCATGAATTCAGCAGAGTCAAAACTCTGGACTGATGCTATGCAGGAGGAAATGAATTCTCTTAAGGAAAATGACACATTCACATTGACCACACTACCAGAGGGCAAAAATGCAGTGGGGGGTAGATGGGTCTATACAATCAAAGAAAACACAGAAAAGACTGAGATATATAAAGCCAGATATGTTGCCAAGGGATATAGTCAAGTGGCAGGAATAGACTATAAGGAGACATTTTCCCCGACTGCAAACATGACATCAGTACGAAGTTTGATGCAATTGGCAGCTCAACATGACTTACACCTACATCAGATGGATGTTAAAACTGCATATTTACACGCTCCAATTGATTGTGAGCTCTATGTACAGCAACCTGAAGGTTTTGAGGTCAAGTCAGACACAGATGAAAAGCTAGTCTGCAAGCTGAATAAATCACTGTATGGGTTAAAACAATCTGGAAGAAACTGGAAGAAAATGTTGCATGATCATCTCTGTGAGAACGGTTTTGCACAAAACCCAGCTGATCACTGTGTCTACAGTAAAGGAATAGAAAATGAGAGGATCATTCTGATTATTTGGGTGGATGACTTAGTTACCGCAGCTAATGATATTCACACAATTAATACTGTGAAAGAAATGTTGAGCACAAAATTCAAAATGAAGGATCTTGGGAAACTTAAACATTTCCTAGGCATTGACTTTACTCAGGAAAAAGGAGAAATAAAGATGGGTCAAAAGAAATTCATTACAAAAATACTGGAAAAGTTTGGTATGAATGACTGTAAGCCAAGGTCCACCCCATGTGAACAGAAACACAACTTTGATGATGATGGTGAAGCTGTTGATGCAACACAATATCGTGAAGTGGTAGGCAGCTTAATATATTTAATGACATCTACACGGCCTGATCTAAGTTGGATAGTCAGTAAACTGTCACAGTATTTTTCAGAGCCAAAAGAACAACACTGGTTAACTGCTAAACATGTATTGAGGTACTTAAAGGGCACAATTAATCAGGAGCTATGTTTTAAACAACAAGATGAAAAACTGAAACTTGTTGCATACTGTGATGCGGATTGGGCAACAGACCAAAATGACAGACGGAGTATAACAGGGTACTGTTTTAGTCTAACTAGCAATGGGCCTGTTATTTCTTGGAGATCAAAGAAACAGCAAACAGTAGCTTTGTCGACATGTGAGGCAGAGTACATGGCACTGGCTGCCACAGCACAAGAGAGTGTGTATCTTGTGCAGCTAATAGAGAGCATGGATAGTGAGGGTCAATATACTCCTGTAAAAATCTTTGAAGATAACCAGGGTGCAATTGCTCTATCCAAGAACCCAGTATGTCGTCAACGATGTAAACATGTGGATGTCAAGTATCATTTTGTTCGAACTGTACTGAGTGATAACATGATAACCATTGACTATTGCCCTACAGCTGATATGGTTGCTGATATTTTCACTAAGCCTGCAACAAAGGTAAAAAGTGAGACATTTGTAAAGTATTTGTTTGGAATGTAAATAACCCCAGAAGTTTCAAACACTGTTATTGTGCAGGTGTATAAGGTGTTTACATTTGAATTCATGTTGATAAATTGTGCAGTATAAGAGTAAGTGGGGGTGTTGAATTATGAAATGTAATATATGAATTCTGTTTATTTAATACTCTTATACTAATCACTTCCTGTATTCCCGTGATAAAAGGGACATGCGCAATAAAACGTGTCACTTCCGTTTGAAGCACAGCTGATGGTGTGTGTATTTATTCCTCTGTCACGTTAACTATGTTCACGGTATTCCTGCCCTAAGATCATGGCATCGCTAACAAAAAACTCAACCTAAAGTAAAGAAGTCCCAATTTAACCAGTCAATCATTGATAATCTCACAGACCACTTTGGGCTATTTTATCTGCGTAAAGGTATGTGCGTGCGTGCGTGCGTGTGTGTGTGTTGGACCACATAATTAGCAGTGAAGTCAGTCTCTCTCTCTCATTTTATCTGTGAGAGCTAATTTTTGTATTTTCCTTAATTTGTATAGCTCTTACGTTGTTATTGATTGTGTACGAGTTCATGTGTTTGAGCATGTGCAGTCTGTCCTGAAGTTGTGGAGAGAGAGTAAAACGTAATAAACGGAGGCGCTGTTTGTGACGCTCCACAAGTACAGAGTTCCTGAGTTTTTGTGATTTTGTAATTATCTTTGAAGCCCTAACACATCAGACACTAATTGTATACTTGCAAGGGTGTGCAATATATACCATCAGTTGGAGTCTGCACCTCCAAGGTGCGCAATACATTATTGCGCAATCTATGCCTGTGACTGTGCGCCTGCACGCGCGCATGCGTTAGTTTTAAAGACCCCCATAGAGCTCAGTTTATAACTCGAACCCTGGTTTGAACTTACTTTAAATTAACTAATGTCACACACGTCAAACCCAAGGGGCATTAAAATGTACATTTTCGTTAAATAATACGGATAAATATGTGACGCTAACTAGCTAGCTGGACGTACTGCACTGTTGTTTACACTTATTTTTAATTCAGTTCAGAAGTTTACTAAAGTCATACAGAGATCTTGGCTCTGTTATAGATAAGTTATACTTCATATTACATAAACAGACCAAAGTGAAAACATGTAGACCTGTATAGCATACAGTACGGTGGGATTTATAAAATGCTACCCTGACGTGTAGCTGCTGTTAGCTTTATTTATTGTTCTGACATGTTCCAATTGTGTACTGTTTATTAAACTTTGGGACAACATTACAACCTTTGTATTCAGCTCATGCTGCTTTGAGGGCTAAAAGAAAATCCTATTTTCAATATTTCCACCAGATTTGATCATCTTTTATTTAGGTTAAATTGTATTTCATTTATCCTAATCCTATAATAATAATAATAATAATAAGACAATCAAAAATAGACAGCAGCCTTTTGCTTGATGTTAGTTTGTGCAGTGCTGTCAAAGGGGTGCAAGTGTGACTGTCAGTTAATGTCTTTAGTTTTTTTTTTAAACCAAAACAGTACATCATTTTTAAACGATCCTTTAGGGATTGTTTGTCTGAAATGCTTAGAGTTCAATTTTGCAATAATACTTCTGCAACCCTGTGTTTAATATGATTAATTCACTTTTTTATTTTTCTCTTGTTTTTCTCTGTAATTAGGACAATTCTGGTGAAATTGATCAGCTGGGGAAGGACCCCTAATCTGAAAAGTGCACAGCGATCATCAGGACAGAGCTGCCATCCACCTGGACCCCCCGAGGTGCTGGAGAAAGCAAAACGGCGATCAGGAACATCCTCCACCCAGACCTCTGCTTACTGCCGTCGTACAGACTTGCGTGTTACTTTCAGAATTTGATTTTGTATGTGTCCTTTCTTTTAATAGATATTTAACGATTATAGCTTGAGTCTGTCTGATTCCCCAAACAGCTGCTTCTATATACTTGCTGCACATATAATACAAATAAACAACTCCATAAACACACTTTTGCTGATATTTGTGTTACTGCCGGTGATGTTAAAGTACATGATCGATGTCCTCTGTCTCAATGATGAAAGTTATAAATTATAATAATAGAAGACATGAAGCTGCAGAGAGAGGATGGATATATTCTTACCTCTACTTTGTGATAAGATGAAAATACAATATTACATTGTAATTGTTAAACACATTGTTTATTTCATTTACTGAGGTTTTAACCATTATTTACAACATGTGTACATAAGCAGTGGAATAAAAGGGTATCTCTAGGTCATTAAACTGTCTTCAGTTTAATTGTATTAATACAAAAATAGGTCATAGAAAATGTTTAATTGTGTATTTCAGCAGAGCCGTCACGGTGGTGCTGGACCTGGAGGTGCTGACCTGGGGTCAGTGGGACATCTGGGCAGGTTTAGGGGAAGAAAGAGAATATAAACTGTTATGATCACAGCTATTAAGATTAGAACACTAATATTGTTAAGAATCAATCTATACAACCTGCTTTTGTTCATTTAAAAACATATTGTTTTATTAGTACAGAACAATTAAGACTTATTTTAAATGTGAAATAATATGATTAAATTACATCAGCTATATATAATTTACTTGTTAACTTACTAATGTAACATTACTGGGGGCTAAAGGAACAGCTTCATCTTATTTACCTGGCCATGGTCCTCTTTAATTAATCGCCGACGGTGATCTCCAAAAAATGTAAAAGTAAAGTTTCTGGATCCTTTTCAGCTGAGTTAGCTTGTAAGCTAATTTGCTAGCAGGCTGCTGGAGCAGCGCAACTGAACAGCGCGTATCACGTGACGTAAATATGAAGCCCTCTGTAAGTTAGACCGTCTCATTTCGTATGCCGCTCGGTCCAGCCTCCAGTCTAAGTGGGCTGGGTCCTCCGTGGACCGCGTAGGCTGCGTACTCCGAAGGGTGCAGCCCCTGAATTGAGACAAGGCCTGTGTGCTCTCCTTTCTCTTCTTCCCTTCTCTTCCCGGACAACATGTGCTTTTCTGCTGATCAATAAAGCTACCTTTGCACCTTCGATGCACCGCCTACGACTACCATCTCTCGGCACTACACTATATTGGTACTATTTTAATACTATATTAATACTGTTTTTACCCCTGGCAGGAGCAGTTAGCTCCCATTAGCTCCCGATAGCTCTTGTTAGCTCCCGGTGCTAACTCACCTGAACGAAGGTGGTTTTACGGGATCCTGCAATGCCGGTGTTTCTTCCCGGTGTCCCGGTGTCTCCTGAGGCCGCTAAACCCTCCCAGTTCTCCGGTAAATCCTCCGGACCTGCGGAGGCCATAATGTGTCTGATGTTGTGGTGAACTGCCGTAAAGATACTAGTACTGTTGCAAAATGTGAGGTGGCAGAGTACACTTAGTGACCGCCAGAGAGAACCAAATACCTTATCAATAATAACAATATATTACATTTTTATAGCGCCTTTCAAGGGACCCAAGGCCAATTGACATGCTGTCAACAAACAAACAAGCAATGAAGTATTAACACGTTAAACGTTATTGATCCCACATTGGGAGTTATTTAGTTACATCAGCAGCTCTCCAACATCCTCATTAATACTCTGAATACATGTTGAATGCTGAATAAACTCTGAATGTTAAGGAGACATTTCAGTAAAAATATATCCACATTTCTTTATATATATTTTTTCAAATTAGTTATTGTGATTGAATTATATATTTTTATTTTAGTTATTGTATTTTTATTATTTTTATTATTATTGTCTTATTAGAATTGTTATTACATAATTTGTATTTTATCATTTGAATTATCTTATTTTATTATTCTCAAAACAGAGATTTAAACGACCTTAAACAGGAAACGTTTGGACATTAGGCTTGTTTGAGATGAGCGAGACCGACGCAGACCTGCGCAATAGACCTATCGCTAAACCACGCCCCAAATAGAATTTGTCCAATCATATCACAGCGAAAATCCCTCCTGACAGAAAACTCGGACATCACCAGAAAAGCCGTTTGTGGGGCGCATCAAACCAAAACCAGACGTCTGTGATCGAAACCACTGTGAAGAGTTCAGTTTCTATGTTTATTATCTAGCTAATATCTGATGGTGAAACGCTGTGCGTGGGGTACCTGTAATTTCGGACACCAGGTACCCTGAAAGACTGGATGGAGGAGTATATTTCATACCTTTTCCGAAGCCCAAAAGAAAACTCGACAAATGCAAGCGGTGGATTATGCTGTGTCGTCAACCACATACACAACTGAATGTGAAGACAATTATCAAGGACACTTATGTTTGCTCAAAGGTAAGGTCAATTCATAAATACATCATATTTGACGGTATGTATTAGAAACGTAGACCAAACTATTAGTTTGCTAACGATTGACTTTGACTGCCAACTAGCTAGCGTATATCCAGCCCAGCTAGCTAACGTTAGCTGCCAACTTGTTAGCCAGCTAACTAGCTACAGTGTTATCAACATCAACGTTTGCTGTCTGACTTTTCGTCCTCGCTAGTTAGCTGGTGTTTTTAGCTAACTTTTGCTAACTGTCTTTTCACCTGTTAGTGTATTCTATAACCCCGAAGGCAGGAGAGACTGAAAAGAGTCAAGGGAAGCTTATAAAAGTTAACAGCATTTAATTACACAAAAGATGTGGTGGTGTACAGTACAAAATGAAATGTGCGAGTGGAGGCGTTCTCCTCATCCGCCCGGTCAGTCCAGGTCACCCGGTAGCAAGAGGTCAATCCTTGGCTTGCTCTTCCTGTTGTCATCGGAGGTCTTCTCCTATTGGTCGGGGGCGGGTCCAATGCAATTTCTGCCTTTTTCTGTTGTTAAATTATATCATTCTGGTGTCTGTGGTTATTTAAACATTCCCTAATAAACGTTATTCAGCGGTAATAAATGAGTGCTAAACCCAGTGTGCTCAGTGTGCTCAGTGTACAACATCACATGTCATTTCACCTTTGATTCACGGTTTGAAAATGCAGCATTTCGCCACATGCTAATGCTAACCGGAAATGAAGAATTTTCAGAATAAAAGTATTAAGTTAATAGTTAGTGAACTTCCGGTTTTTCAGAATAAAACTGATTTAAATTAAATAGTGTATTTAATTCAAATTACGCCATACCAACATTGATTTTAATTTCTAACAATCCCTCCTTACATACCCTTTAAGGTATGTAAATAATATTGAAATCAATTAGTTCTTCATCCGAACATTGCATGGTACATAACTCATAAAAGTAAAAAAATACAAATAAGAATACATATTCATCATAAATATGAAGTTTTTCATAACTTCTAGCTTAAACCTTTAATGTCACTTTGTAAAATAGCAGCAATTAGCTTGGTATGGAAAACGTCTAACTCCCTCCTTTCACATCATAAATAATCTTCTTACTGTATCTGGTGTAAAGGCACTTGTTCTTTTACAAAGTATAAGAAGGCTTAAACTATCTGAAAATAGCTAAATATTACTCTTTATTTACTTTTACTGTGTCTCTGGTGTAATTTATGAATCTCTGCTGGTTCTAGTAGATATAGTTCTCCCCATCCACATTCTTGTTGGTTGTGGGACAGAGGAATAATAATTCAGAACCTGCTGATATTTGAATCTTACTACTGGGCATATGTTACAAACAAAAAACATCTTCATGGTGAACTAAATAAAATCCTTGTAATATTTCTCAAATCTAAATATAACAATGAACTATTCCTGTTTGTGGTAAAGACACACACTAACGTTATGTAATACAATTTCATTATGGATTCAAAAACAACTAAAGTCATGATGCTGTCAGAGTGAATGATTTCCTGAGTGTATCTGTCCTGTAAGGTACATCATTCTCTGCTTGGATCGTGTGCAGAAATCCCATCGATTGCACCTGGCAATACGGCTTCTACCTGTCTATTATCAAGCTGAAAAATGAATACAGAATTCCAACATACGGTCATCAAATGTCTTTCTATTATGAATTTAAATTAAATGTATATCCCCATAATGAACTAAACAATAAAGTCTATGGCTTTTACTTCTAATTCTTTACCAGGCTAGTTACAATATGTTGTCTAAATTAAATTCGGTATTATTACATTACTATGTTTTAGCTTAACTTAACTGTAATATGTTCTTTCTACATTTCAAACCTCAGTTACTCTAATGTCTGTTAAAATATTACAAAATTGCCTAACTATCACAGGTCAACTTCTTCGGTATTCTATTCTGGAATTACATCTCTCACAGTAGCCCCTTGGCCACTGCTTCTGTGTTACCTGTTATAATTCAATCAATATTTAGAAACATCTCAACATTCATCAAACAGTATCTTATCCCCAGATATGGAGCAGGTTAATTATAAAACTATCATTCAATGCTCAGTTTGAACATCTGGGTTGGGGCGGAAGGTTTCTGTCAATCCTTAAAAGAAAAATTTAAATTGTGAATTTTACAGCCATGTTGACATTATACACACTCCCCCCTTTTACACATGAACTCATGTGTAACAAAACCCTGTAATGGGGAGGGGAACAAAAAACTGTCAGGTAATTGGTTAGGGACATAACGAACATTATTTACAATTTTACATCAATTATCATTATTTCCACAGTAAACACTTCAGTGAAAAGAAGTGTTCCTCTCCGTCCTTCAGGCCTAAAAGAAACAGAATCTTCAGATTTTAGTTTTACATTTGCAAACCGCCAACTCATGTGAGAGTAAAATATCATCAAGTAGATTAGAAACGGGTCACATGTGCGGTTTCCCCTTTTTGTGGAATTTTTAGGAAACCTCTCGTTTCCCTTGGAGCTCCAAAATAATATGTTAGTCCAAAAACATGCTTGGTTAGTTATTGTTTTAGAATCATGCAGTTACACTGATCACATGCCGGCATTCATTCACACTCACACTGTCTGGTTGTCATGTCAAGTTTGGTCAGGTACACCCCAGAGTCAGTCATGGACAGTGCTTTTGTCACACTGTCAGTCAGGGTCAAAGGTCGTTTGGTCTCGGTCTTTTGGCCATGTCGTGCTCTGCAGAGTCTTTTCAGAGGTATTTCAGCATAGGCGGGTACCCTTTATCTACAAAAATGTCATATGTGGAGCGCCATTCCTTATTCATTCACGATTTCAACTATGATTTTCAAGATGATTCTAACTTTTCATTGGGACTTCTGCCTCCCACTTTTCCTGAAACTTGGTACAAAACTCACTTCCTTAGAGTACTACTACTGCAATTCATTTACACCTAATTAGTATTAAAATGTCTAATGATCTATTTCAGAAACTTGTGTACATAACTATTATCTTGAGTCAAAACATTACTAGGATCTGTGTCGCTCTGCATTTCATAGCTTATTATACTCATTTATCTTTAATTCTGGTCTACTTAAAAAACAATGTTAAACTCTTTAGCAGTGTGTGGAACCTTGGGTGTCCGAACATGCAACAATTACTCCCTCCTTTATCAAGGATTCAAAACAGAAGTCATTTTATATTTCCATCTTAAAGCCCTCTTATGGTAATAACTATGCTACAATGGTGAAATCAATACTTTAGATTGGAATTTTATATTTGGCTTGGCACCAGCTCTCCATTTAACGTTATCCATACAAATAAAGATTTGTCCTATAGAGTGGTTCCTAAAACTATCCTTTTAATGGTGATCAATATTGTAACAAATGAGATCACTACTTTATTCACACGTGAATAAAAATCTCTTAAAGAATGATTTGTTAAAAGATTGAAGAATATGGTTCTACTCTGTCATGTCTTCCCCTTTATCCCTCAGTGTGTTTTAGGATGATTCTCATTTTACTTTAATCTGTCTTTACGTATTTATGAAGTTAATTCAAGTTATTTAAATGTGCGTTTTGTGAATAAGTGTGTTTATGTGTAACTCACTCATTCCCGTTCTCCTTTTCTCCTCCCCTGGTTTTCTCAAGCCGTGACCCCGGCCTCCTCACTTCTAATCGACCATGCCAACTCCTCTGATTCCGTCTTCTCTTCAGTCCATCAGCTGTTGAATCCATCCGCTGTAACTTTTTTAGGCAGCCATTGGCCCAGTCACATCTGCAGCCCCATCATGCCACTGTTGTTGCACTGCTTTGCATTTCATCTCCTCCTTTACAGTCTCTCTGCTGTTTTTATGGAGGGCGGATTCTGCTCTTGTGTCCCACACTCGGCTCTTGTGCCAAATCTCGTGGCTCAGCTTGGAACTTCATGCCCTGTCTGAGGGGCTGATGAGAGTATCTCTCTGTATGTCAGCATGCTGTTTGGTTCTGGATGCCACAGGTGGAGATAGTTCTGGCTGCAGTCTTGATGTAGTCTTGTTGTTGTTGTTGGTTCAGCTCTGGTTCTCTGTCTGTACGATGGAGAAGGAGGAGTCTCCTGTTGGGTTAGGTCTCGTTGTCTGCTTGGAGGGTCGGGATCAAAGCCTTTCTAACTCAGAGGGGGAGTCCAGGTCTCGGGACGCATTACCTATAAGAAGTCTAGCACACTGATGTTAAATAAATCCAACCCTTTCCACTCTGTCTCTTTCTAATCATACTATCTGTCTTAGTTGTTAAATGCCATCTAAACAACATAATTAATGTCTACTTATGATATTACAAAAACTCACTCTAAAAATTGTTTCATCCATTGCTACATATTTACCCAACACAACTCTGAAATACTTACATGTTTCCAGCATCACATATTCCACACACTACGAAAGAACATCTCCATATTTTCTCCAATATTTTAAATCCCACTGTTATTTAGAACAATAGTAAACCTGCAGAGCACACCAATTGGATCACAGTAATGAAATTTGAATCAAGTGTAGGCCTATGTCTACTTTCCACCATACTTATTACTTTTGCTGAACATTTATTTATATTTTCTAACTTCCTTGTCTATGATGTGCAAACAGTTCGAGTGTAAAATGTGTTTTTCTCAATGTATTTACACTACAGATTCTTGAGTTTACTCATCTCCTGGTGCTGTCGTTGTAAAAAATGTTCAATTCCTTATTGTTTTTTGTACCAGTTTTCCAAAATCAGTTCCAACTGCCGTGCCGTTTCTGGAAAGGTGGCGGTACGGCGACACAATGTGTAAGAAGGTGCCAACATGTTCCTTTTTTAACTTTGATCCGGAGCGCATCTGCAGTGCGTTCTACAACTTCCCATGGTCCACTCCATACAGGTTGCAACAAGTTCATCTTGTGGATTTTTACATTTACCCAATCACCTGATCCAACAGAAATATTCGTCATGGCCCTGGCATATGCTTCCGCCTCAATATTTCTAAAATCTAACGCTGGTTCTCCTCTGTATTGTGAGGTGCTACCTTGTGGTGGATATTGCTGAGTGGGGCAATCTCTGGCCAGATGTCTACAATCTCCACATATGAAGCAGCCATCATCCCTTCTTCCTCTTGATCGTTGCTTTCCTCTCCATTGTCCCTTTTGTTGATGCTGTATGGGAGTGTATACCTGTGCTTGCGGCTGTACTTGGTTAGGAAGATACACAGGTATTTGCTGTTGAATATACTGTGGTGCTTGTGGCTGTACTTGCGTAGGAAGATACACAGGTGTCTGCTGTTGAAGATACTGTGGTGCTTGTGGCTGTACTTGCGTAGGAAGATACACAGGTGTCTGCTGAACCTGGTTTTGTGGACATACACTTCCTCCTCCGCTTTGTTGAACTGTTGGAGGTGTCCGCCCTGCCTTCTCTGCTAGTATGGCCATCTGATTTGTCGATTTCTTGTTTTTATTAGCTTCGGCATCTTTCTCAGCTACTTGTATCTTCAAAAGTCTTAGTTTTAGTGTTTTAATTTCTTCATCATTTTCCCCCTTTGTTGCCTGGTATTTCATATCGTAGTGAATGAGATGTAGTCTCCATTCTTCAATGGGTTTAGCGTCTAATCCCACCACGTCTCCCAGGCCTGCCTGCACTGATCGGGGAAGGGCTTTAATGACAGCGTTCTTCCACAACATTACAACAGCCGGAGAAACGTCATGCCGTTCTCCAGTGCAGTCCTCCCACACTCCTTCACATCTCTTCAAGAAGGCATACATTTCTTCCCCCGGTTCTTTTCTCAGGCTGTTGAGGGCATGTAAATTGCGTGTTGTCGGGTAGATGTGACGAATAGCAGCCCAATAATTCGACCTGATATTGTTGAATGAAGTTTCATCTGGGTCGTGCGTGCAATTGGCCTCGGAATCTACTGCTCTTGCCTCTAGTCTTCCTTCTATCCGTCCAAGCAGGGCCCTCATGTCTCCCAAGCACAGGTGGTCTTGGACAGTGTACTTCTCCAGATCAGTAACCCACTTCTGACCTCCTTTCGTGAGTGGAGGTAGCTTTGACACTAATGCTTCCATGTCCCTGTGAGTCCATGATTGGTATTGAAATCCTCCTCTTCCAGCCGCTATCAATGGCATGGAGGTATGTGCACCGGTCTTGGTTCTTCTAGTTTTGGGGCATGTCCCAGGGTAATGTTGCTCGTTTTCGTCACTACTATTATTCTCAGGAGGAGATGCAAAACTGCGTTGTTGCTGTGACTGTTCATGGTATGGGGAGTGTCTACTGGTTTCAGACTGTGTACCGCTGTCGTCATATTCATCTCCCCGTCCATTGGAATAGTCAGGAGAGTAGTTTGTTCTGCGTTTTCTTTGAGTTCTTCGTTCTTCTTGTTCTCTCCTTTGTCTATCTGCCATCATGTCCTGGAATCTTACATCGTCTTGTTGCCTCTCCGCCAGAAGTAGTTGGTATTTATCTTCCTCCCTTTGTCTTTCTGCAATAATGTCATTATGGGCTTCAACTGCCTTCCGTCTTTCTTCAATAATGTCATTATGGGCTTCATCTGCCTTTCGTCTCTCTTCCATTCCTCTGATGAGTTCTGCTTCAATGCTTCTGTTGAGCTCCTCGTCCATTCTTCTGTCGAGTTCCTCCATTCTTCTGTCGAGCTCTTCGTGTCTTCTGCCGAGTTCTGCTTCCATTCTTCTGCCGAGTTCTTCCATCAGCTGGTTGACACTGGATAGGATTCTTACCTCAAACGCCAATTCTTTCTCATTTGGGGCTTGAATCGAAGCTTGGTGAGAAGGGTTGTTCTCTGATATGTCTGGAGGAGACACTTCGGTCAGGCTTGGATACTGCTTTGGAGTTTGGATAAGTGGAGCCTCTTTTGTCATTTCTGCTGTGTCTTCATTTACTGGCAGATCTTCTGCGATGGATGTCAGATGGATTAACAGACATGTAACCCTAACTTTTCTTTTTTCAGCTTTTTTCATAGCGCTTTTAGCAGGTCCATACCAAGGGGTTTGTACGGCTTTGATCCATGCTTTTTCCTGTTGTAGGTATTCAGCATTCTCATGTTCAACTACAGCTTTTCTCTGGGCTTCCGTTGGTCCAGGTTGATCATCTGCTGGAATCAATCCTCTCGTTTGCCACTGTTCCAACAGTTTCTCTATTTGGTTCCATGTCTTCTGTCTATGACTTGGACACGTTAAAGCATCTGATCTGATGTTTACTCTCGCCTTAATATCTGCAGTTGTGCCTGGCACTGTGAGTGCTCTTAACTCTGGCGACATGTTTCTTAAGTACACCGATAATATTATTAAGTTTATCAAAATGAATGACTAATCCTCTGAATAGTACCCTTGTATTCTTTATAAAGATATCCTATGTCATCTGAACTTAACTTTAAAATCTTGTAATTTTTTCAATTTTTTTACAGAATTTGGAAAAATAAATTTAAATGTTGTAAAACTGAGATTGGAAAATCAAAATTAGACAAATTAAATTAAAATTTTGAAATTATGCAAATTTTTTAAAATCTGAACAAATAAATAAAAATGAACAGTGTATGGTTTTGACTTTGTAAAAATAGGAATATGGTGCAAATCCAAATAAACCGTGGACAGTGTATACTCAAGTTGAGTTCATGAAATTATGCAAATGTCATAAAATGTGTTAACTACAATACTTCAATTCAAAGAAACCACATGTAATCTTTATCTGTGTGGTGAAGAATGTATTAACTGTAATACTTATTATGTCCGCAAGGGGAGCTGTTTTATTTGTAACTCCTCTCAAATGTATCAACTAGTACTTCCGGTTCATAAACATACTTCCTGTTTATTTCAAAATATAAAGTTCAAAGTACTTTCTTTGAAAAGCATGAAAAATAAAACAACTCAATCTACTCTCAACGTTCATCTACACCATCCCTGTGTATTTAATCAGTAGTTACCGGTTGTATCTTTACTCGAAGTATTTCACCATCTAGTAATGCTAACTGGCTAGCTTAGCAGTATAGCATTAACCGCATGTGACTGGGGGAAGGGGAACAATGGAAACACTCAACATCTGCATATAAATAACCACACTGATTGACAATACAAAACACAATCTTCATTTATCTTAGCTCTAAATTATATAGATGCTGACCCTAAAAGCCGATCTCATACCAATCTTGTACACAATCGTTTCGGCTTAGAAGATCACACAAAAATATACTTTTTGGCTTAAAAACTCCACACAATATACGTTATTAAACCAGACTACGCAGGTTTAACACATCGAACATATAGACTAACATGAATGGACCCAGTCCAGTGTAAAACAGATCAGGTCTGGTACCTACCCAGAGGTATTTAACACAATGTGAACCCTATCCCAGATAAAATTCTGCCTCACCAGAAGGTCTTAATATGTAATATTCACATTATCGGGCGGCGCCGAAGATACAACAGAGACGAATAGAAACACTATATACAATCTCCACACCACTCGCAATCACCACGGAATTAAACAGGTAACTGTCTCACCTTTCGTTTAGGCCCAGCCAAAAACTCATTTTCTGCAGGCTAGTGTGATGCTAGTTAGCTTGCAGCATTCCCCTCTCTTCCAGCTCTATCCCGCTTCAGAGCCCACCCAGGGACGCCATGTTAGTGTATTCTATAACCCCGAAGGCAGGAGAGACTGAAAAGAGTCAAGGGAAGCTTATAAAAGTTAACAGCATTTAATTACACAAAAGATGTGGTGGTGTACAGTACAAAATGAAATGTGCGAGTGGAGGCGTTCTCCTCATCCGCCCGGTCAGTCCAGGTCACCCGGTAGCAAGAGGTCAATCCTTGGCTTGCTCTTCCTGTTGTCATCGGAGGTCTTCTCCTATTGGTCGGGGGCGGGTCCAATGCAATTTCTGCCTTTTTCTGTTGTTAAATTATATCATTCTGGTGTCTGTGGTTATTTAAACATTCCCTAATAAACGTTATTCAGCGGTAATAAATGAGTGCTAAACCCAGTGTGCTCAGTGTGCTCAGTGTACAACATCACATGTCATTTCACCTTTGATTCACGGTTTGAAAATGCAGCATTTCGCCACATGCTAATGCTAACCGGAAATGAAGAATTTTCAGAATAAAAGTATTAAGTTAATAGTTAGTGAACTTCCGGTTTTTCAGAATAAAACTGATTTAAATTAAATAGTGTATTTAATTCAAATTACGCCATACCAACATTGATTTTAATTTCTAACACACCTCAAAGCACTTCAGAGATGGGAAGCCAACTCTGGAATATCAGATCCCATCCGGGCTCTCGTGTGTGCTGCTTCCGAAAAGACACAGACCCTCACCCCAAAAAAAGGTAACGCTACAGTCAGCCAGGTGCATAACAGTGAAAATGATGACCAACAAGGACAGTTATAGTTATAGATTTAATGTAGTGACCACCACTGCTAACATTCAACATCATATTATCATTTCAATGGTTACACAACAGTCACCACTACACACGACAGGCAACAAGATTAGATATTTTATATAAAGAAATACATGGCTACCTTTTACTCTTGCTTTTAACTGTTAACTTTCATCTGCTGTTGCTTTTATTAGCTCTTGCTTCTATTTTAATGTTATTTTAACTTGAACTCCCCCCGCGGGCCATTGTCAAGAGTCATTCACGGTCGGCTTTGTTTGTCCGAGTTTTCAAAGGGGGCGTGGCTTAGCGATAGGTCTATTGCGAACGCCCTCTTGCTAGTGCACAGCCCCACCGAGTGTCAGCAGAAAGTATTAAATATAATGATTACAAAAAAATGCTAAAAAAATATATAAAATATATTTTAAGATCATGTTTAATCAGTGGCGGCTGGTGGAAAATATTTTTGGTGGGGCTTTTGATATAGTGAGTAAAAAACATTTTTTGGGGAGAAATGACCCCTTAAATTAGGACTTCTGGTGATGTAATGGCGTGTTTCCAGTGCAGCGCGGAGCTCGCTTTAATGCCGCGTTCAGACCGGACGCGATGCGAATATTCGCTTCGCTCTAAACGCTCCTATCGCATAGCTCTAGTCGCTCGAGTTTCACCGCGGCTGCCAGCTGTATTTCCCCGCATCATTCAAACAAGACGCGCTGGCTCGGGAGCTACAACTACAACAAAATGAACATATTTGACCGTGATTAAATTGTAATACACGTTTCTAAATGATGCCGACGTAACAACATACTGATACCGGTTAGTAAAAACCATGAATTAATGCTTTGACAAGTCTGAAGACAGACAGCAGGCGAAAAACCTTTTAGAATGCTTGTTTTCTGAATGGAGCTTGGCTAAGCTAACGTTATATATGTTCCGACCGTCCACACTCACAACAACGGCCTATACAGACATAAATAAACCAGCGACTGTATTCTCCATGACACAGACAGTCTGTGGTTTGTACTTGTTTAACTTTTGTCTAGTTTCTGAACAGATCGTATCTGTTTGAAGAGCAAGCATGGGAAACAAAAGATAGCATTTACCTGTTTGCATCCAGCTAGCCTCGTTGATACGTTTTGTCTTTTTCACGAGCTTGCTGTGATATATACAAATCGGGTTGGTCCGGTCCAAGGTCTTTAAGTATCAATTTATCTCCCAAACTTCTCCTTTGGAAAGGATTGGAGAGTAGCTCTTGCACGGAATTGGGTGCGGACCGAGGTCCGGCGACTCCACCTGCACCCCATTCTAAATACTGCGTCATCTTGGTCACTCACGAGTCTAAAAAACAACTCACGTCACGTAAGCAACGTGGGCGCCAACGTGGGCGCCAACGTAAGCGCCCTCGTGACCAAAATATTTGACGCCACTGATTGGCTGAAATTATGTTTCGGCGGCACAGTTTACTATTGAGACTTTTGCAACGTGCTGGTTGCTGCTGTTTGTCTCGGGGGCTCCGCCCGGTAATGATAAACTAATGCCATGGGCAAGGCCAGGCAGGAAACATGTGACTTATCAGTAACTTTAGACATCGTAACACAATTTTTTTAACGAGATTTTATTGTAGATTATACATTTGACTGATACCAATTGTATGATATTTACCTTGTTCATTAAAAATAAAAATATAAAATATATATTTTTTTTAAATATTTTTTTTTAAATTTAATATTTTTTTTAATATATATTTTAATGTGGGAAGAGGTGGGGCGGCGCCCCTAGCGCCCCTATGGGCCGGCCGCCACTGTGTTTAATCATCTGATTCGTCTGTACATTGCTGTTTTAGTCTGTGTTCTTCTAATTAGTGTCTACAGTGTGTGCCTATTGAGCTGTTTAGAGCCATGTGGGACAAAACCCGATCATGCCCCTCCCTCTCACTGTCTAAGTAAACGATGACTGTAAAAACTACACTGCGCATGCTCAGAGTATTGTCCTATTTAATGTGTGTGGCAACCAAATAATGACCATAGGGGCACTGAGCCACCACGTCATCTCACATAATTCAGAGCTGATTGGCTGTAAGTACGTGTGCCGTGAAAAGTGTGGTGTGTGAAGAGAAGAGCAGACGAGAGACTCGTCCTAAAAGTAAGCTGCGCATGGCTTCCCTCCACAAAAAAGCAATGAGATTTCTCCATAGGATTTTAGAAAATAGCTCAAAATAAGATCTGTGGGAAACGTAGCTGTTAGATAAATGCACGTTTTGTTCAGCCGGATAATATCCACATGTCTACCCTACTTTTATCATTTTCGAATCATAAATATATCGATTGGATTTATGATAGACTTTTGAAACTGCAAGAAGATAAGGAGGACTTTTACAAAAAAAGTAATAGAGACGTTTGTCCAGAAGGATAGGCAAATGGACTTCATCTTCAAGTCAAGGTAAGACCGCAATTGTATTGAAAATGGGATCTTACTAAGAGAGAACAATTCAATATTTAAATGATAAAATTACATTTTTGGGGTATCCTTTTGTTGAACTGTCAGTTTAAAATTAATCGAAGCATCAGACAAAAAAAGCTTTTGAAAATAATATTATATTTTGATTTAGGTCAAAATATAATATTTGTAAACCTGAAGAGTCAGTGCCAGTGCCAGCCATGAACCTCACTGCACGTCACTGCAGAAGCTTATAGACATCTACGTTTTTTGTGCCCCACCACTTTTGTACATATAAAAACGGCACTGATGATGGTTAGTAATTTTGTCCGACTTGCTCTGGAGCGAGGAAATGAAAATAATCGACCTGAGAAGGACCCCTGCTCTGGAGGCTCGACTGCATGAGACGTTGAAATCTCGCGGGACAAAGACGCCGGCAGCCTTGAGAGCGAGGCGGCGCAGTTTCTCTCCACGAGCTGCAGAAGCGAAATGCTTGATGGGAAACGACTCGCTGGTATCTCGAGCTGAGCGCTCATTGGCGGTTTTTACCCCGTGCTGCTGATGAAACTCTCCAATTGGCTCGGTAAAAGTTTTTTGTTTTGTGTCAGTTTTATATCGCCACTTGCAGTCACATTTTTATCATTGTTCCACAATGTTTATCATCATGAAATTAATATCTATATATTTTATACTACACTTGCACTGCTTACCTTTTTCATACTTTATATATCTTAGCATATTCATACACACTGTTAATACTGTTCATACTGTTCATATGCTACTGTGTATATATCTAGTGCAGGGATGGGCAACTTGGATGGTGGTGAGGGCCACATAATGTATGAACTGGCCACCAGGGGGCTGCAGATTCACTTGGAACACAGACACACACAAATTCCATGTATTGTATGTAATTATTAACAAATATACTAAGTCTGACA